CCGACACAGTCGGGCGAAAGGATTGACGCCCGCTGCCGCTTCCTCTGATCCCCCCCGCCCCGGGGCAAAACCAGACGGCCAGTAGCTGCGACTGGCTCGTGCTGCTAGTGCCCGCCGACAGGGGAGACAGAAGAACACCCGGGTCAGACAGCACTCGGTGCGACTCGCCTGGGCCAGGGTCGCACTCACCTTCCCTCCCAAATCGCGAGGCAGGGGACCGGCCCGCGGGTGCAACCGCCCCCACCCTCGGTCGATCCCGAGGGGTTGCGCACTCCCGCCCCCAGGTTTCGACATCGCCACAGAAGAAGACAGAGCGCGAAGGCGCGATGACCGAGGGCTCTGAAGTTAGCTCTCCTCGCCGCTCTGCGCCCATGGGGAGCCTTAGGTCGGGCATGTCCCCCTACAAGCGGACTTTGAACGAAGAAGCCGCCGGCCCCCTTGTGGGGCCACCAGGCTGTAGGCCGAAGGTTCGCAGTTTCCTGTGCCAGTTGCAGCTTCCAGTTTCCACTGTTACAGTTCTGCTTCTTGCTGCTTACTGTTCCTTGTTGATGGACCTCCTGAGGGGGGGGAGGCCCAAACGGGCAGGTTTTTAGCACGCCCTGAGCGTGTCCTGCTGGTCCTGCTGGTCCTGCTGGCGCTGGACTGGGCCAAGGCGTTTGACAGCGTCTCGCCGACCGCCCTGGTGCAGGCGCTCGTCCGCTTCGGCAACCCCGGGCACTTCGCAGAGGCAGTTCGGGCCATCTACACGGACAGATCTTTTCGAGTGAGGGAGGCGGGCCAGACATCCGGGCCATGGCAACAAGCCTTCGGCGTCTGCCAAGGCTGCCCGCTATCGCCGTTCCTGTTCTCAATCGTCATGACGGTCCTCATGCATGATGCGAGCCGGGCTTTCCAAGCACACGGCATGACACAAGACGCCCGGATACCCGTTAGTGAACTCATCTACGCCGACGACACCCTTGTCGTTGGAGCCAGTGATGATTATGTTTCCAGGCTGATGGGGGCGATCCACTGCGCGGGGTCCAACTACGGGCTTGCCTTCAACTGGAGCAAGCTGGAAACTTTGCCTGTCTGTTGCGAGACTGCCTTGACGAAGCCAGACGGCGCCCCCATCCCGAGCAAGGACAGCATGGTCTACTTAGGAGGACTCTTGAACTCCACAGGTCGGAGCGGGCCTGAACTCAGCCGCCGGCTAGGCATGGCCAGCGCCGATTTTGAGACGCTGTGCAAATTGTGGAAGCACGCGCGATTGTCCCTCGACAAAAAGCTAGCAGTCTTTGACGCGTGTGTATTACCCAAGTTGCTATATTGTTTACACACTGTTTGGTTTAACAAAGCAGAGCGCGGCAGGATTGACGCTTTTCAAGTGCGTTGCCTGCGCCGGATTTCGGGCATCAAGCACTCGTACATAAGCCGCGTTAACCACGAAACTGTTCTACAGCGATGTGGCGTTCAGAAGCTGAGCGACGTACTGGCGCGCAGGCAGTTGAAACTCCTGGGGCACATTGCCCTGATGCCAGGGAACAACCCCGTGCGCAGGTGCATTTTCCAACCCGGCACTTTCGAGCTCGTGCAGGCTGGGGCTCGCCGCAGGGGGCGGCCCCGCAACACGTGGAAATTGCAGGTCTACGACATTGCTTGCCGGACGGCCGGCGGCGAGGAAGCGTTGCACGCCTTGTGGCATCAAGGGCAGAAAGTTTGATTGTTTTTGGTGTGCGAGTTTTATGCTGCTGATTTTTATGATTGATTTTAGGGAGGAGTTGCGAAAACTCGGCCCCCGCCGCCTGCCCTCCAGGTGGTGTCGTCGCTCCCTCTTCCGCCGTCCTGCGTCGCTCCTCTGCCCGCTCTCCCTCCTGCTCGTCCCTCGGGCTGTCGCCCGGGTTTCGTCCTCCTCCCCCCCCCCCTGTCGTCTTCTGTCGCTTGCCCTCCTCCTCCCCCCAGCTCCGGGTTCGCCCTGGACCCCGGGTGTCGTTCCCTCCTCTGCCCCCCTGCTGCGGGCGCTCTCCCGGGTCGTCCACCTTGCGGGGGGCAATTTTGGCGAGCCGGGTATGCATGACGAGATTGGCAAGCCTTCCCTGTGCATGGAGCCAGCGACGCCAGAGGCTTCGCATCGCATTTCGCTGTGGTTTCACACCCCCTTATTGCCAATGCTCCTCTGACGTGCACGGCTTCTCTCTCTCTCTCTCTCTCTCTCTCTCTCTGAGCGTGTTGTCTGAATTGCTGGGGTGGCTAAAAACTAACACCCCTCACGCGGATCGGCGGGGTCAAAGCACAAGGATTTGCTACATTTCTGAAATTATGTGGCACCCCTCACGCAGATCGGCGGGGTCAGGGTCCAAAAACACATGGGATTTGCAACATTTTTGAAATTTGCTGGCACCCCTCACGCAGATCGGCGGGGTCAGGGTCGAAAAACATATGGGATTTGCCACATGTCTGACATTCGGTGGCACCCCTCACCAAGATCGGCGGGGTCAGCGTGCAAAAACACAGAGGATTTGCAACCTTTCTAAAATGCGGCGGCACACCTCATGCAGATCGGCGGGGTCAGGGTCCAAAAACACATGGCATTTGCCACATGTTGTGAAATTCGGTGGCACCCGTCACGCAGATCGGCAGGGTCAGGGTGCATAAACACATGGGATTTGCCGCATTTCTAAAATTCGATGGCACCCCTCACGCTGATCGGCCCGAAGACCCAGACTTGACCCGAATTTCCGGTTTGGGCGGGGGGGTAGGGGGGTCCATGTTTTTTTCTCAATGTTCCCCGACCCCCCCACACTGGAAATAAACGCAAATTGAAGCCCTCGGGTTGGGCCGGGGTGGTTCGGTGGGTGGAGATGGGCTGGTTTGGGAAGGGCCAACTTTCAAGCCCAGGAGCGCAGGCAGCGTCCACCCAAAAGTTAACAAGGGCTGTGCGCAACTCCCCGAGAAGAAAGGGGGAGGGATAGACGAGGATCTAAACACCCCGCCACTGGCGAAGCCCAACTGCCAGGACCCGACGCGACGACGACCGACGAAGCGAGGACACGACAACGACGACAAACAAACGACCACGAACCACCAGGTCGGGGGAGTGGGACACGCCTAGCCCTAACGCAGTGCTGCGAAAGGGAAGAGGAGGATGATGATGATGAGGAGGAGGAGGAGGAACACAAGGAGGAGGAGGAGCAGCAGCAGCAGGAGCACGCTCCATCCACTTCATCCCCTACCTCCTCCTTCATCCTCCCTCCGGTCCCACCCCGCCAAACACACACACACATACACACACGCGCATGCACACGCACGTACACCTTTACTCGTGTTTTTTGGTTGTCTCTCTCTCTCTCTCGCTTTCTCTCTCCCACGCCCGCACACACACACTCACACACACACGATCGCGCAAACTTGTTGGCTCGGCAACCGATCGCGCGGCGTCTCGACCGCGCGCGAGCCTGCAGTGCCGTCGGGGTGGCGCATCGGAACGCTGCTTCCCCGCACACAAACACACACACGGACACACACACACACATGTACACCACACACACGCGCGGGCACACACACACAAATCTCACACACACACACAAACGCACACCCAACCACACGCACGGACGCACACACAGACACAGACACAGACACAGACACAGACACAGACACAGACACAGACACAGACACAGACACAGGCACAGGCACAGGCACAGGCACAGGCACAGGCACAGGCACACACACAGGCACACACACAGGCACACACACAGGCACACACACAGGCACACACACACACACACACACGCACGAGCGTGCGCGCGCGCGAGCACGCACGGAGGGACGGACACAGAACCTCATCCTCACGTTTGCCCGCCGCCAGCGATGCGACAGCACAGTCGCAAGCTGAGGTGGACGCGACGCGAGTACGCTGATTGCGCCCTGCCTCTGGGCGGGGAGGCCCAGCTGCGCGGAGACCCCCCCCCCGAGCAGAAGGCACACGGGGTGCAGAGAATGCATCAGCCACGGAAGCAAGCTCACGCACGCGCGCACATGCACGCATAAACACACTCACGTGCACACAGTCTGCCTCTCTCTCTCACACACACACTCCTTCCTGCCAGCGGGGCCAAACCGGGTCGCCATCGCCAGGACCACTGGCACGGGACGCGCGAAGCAGGCGCGCGCGCGCAGGAGCTCCAGCCTGTGCCTCCCGCCTTCCCTCCTCCTCGCCCTCGCAGCTCCTTCCCCCGCCATTGCCCATCCTTCCTTCGTCTCCCCATGCAGTGGAGGCCCATCCACAGAAAACCTGCCACAAGAACCCAGTCCCTGGGACCCCGGGACGTCCATAGACTTTTGGCGAGGGGACGTCACGCTTTAAATAAGAAACCATCGAAAACCGAGGGCACATGGATGCACGTAGGACGGGGGGGGCGAGACGTATTAGACCTGGGTTCTAAAAAGGATGGTGGCGGAGAAGGATGAAAAGGAGGCTAAGGAGGAGGAGGAGGATAAGGCTACGGAGTAAGCGGAGGAGAAGGAGGAGGAGGAGGATCAGATGAGAAAACACACGACTGTGGGCCCGCAACTCCGGGTTTAACATGAAAAGGCGTGGCGGCTGTGGTAGGAGGAGAAGGAGGTTGAGGAAGAGGAGGACCCTGGACTCAGGGCACCCTGGAAGCAAGCAGGTTGTTCCTTGGCATGGGCCTCCACTGTACCCCCCCATTACTCCATCCTCCCGCACTCCCGCATCCTTCCTCCATTGAACCCCCTTCCGTTCCTCCCCCGCCTTCCCACTAGGAGGAGGAGGATGAGGAGGAGGAGGAGGAGGAGGAGGGGGACAAGAAGGAGGAGGAGGGGGAGGAGGAGGAAGAGGAGAAGGAGGGGTCATTGACGAGTCCTCCACCGAGGAGGAGGAGGAGGAGGACGAAGAGGAGGGAAGGAGGAGGACGAAGTGTTGATGGCTCCCCCTTCCTCTCTCGACCAACGACGACGACGACGCCGACGACGACGACCCTCGCCCTGGTCCACGGAGCCGCCTGGCCGACCTTCATGAGCTCGTCCTGGAGGTCCTTCGTCATCTTCTTCAGCAGCTCGATGTCCGGCTCGGACTCGCCCACCTTCTCCTTCAGGGCCGCGACCTCTAGGGTGGCGAAAATCCGCGCATGCACCGCCCCTGGCCAGGGGCGGTGTGTGTGTGTGTGTGTGTGCGCATCAGGGGATACAGCAGGGGATACGTCGACCCCTATCCCAGGCTTCTTGGTGTTTTCGAGTGGACCAGAACATGTAGGCCCAACTCTGGGATATGCGATGAGGAGGCGTCCATCCTCGGTTGGGGTGCGTCCGAATAGCCCCCTTGGGATCTATCCCAAGGTTTCCCCCTTTATTGCCTGGCCAAACTTTTCGGCAAGAAATCTGGGATTGGGGAACAACATCGCCTGGGAGGATAGATCTCGTCGCCCGAACCTTGGGGTCGATGCTGGCCTTCAGGTCGGCGGGGACCTTGTCGCCGAGTTCCTGCGGCTGCGTCGGTTGATCATGCCTACCTGACGTGTGATGGCTCAACATGCCTTTTCGTGTACGTGTCACTGCGCGTGTGCGTGTGTGGTTTATTATTGCGCTCACACGGCCCAGACTCGGTGCGCTTCTGCTGGCCAGCACGAACATTTCGTGTGTTCGTGCATCTGTCGCGTCTGATCATCCAATGCTGAACTATGGGATGACGGCTGTCCAGCCGACCTGCGTGCCTAAATGACATGGTATCTTGGGATGGTTAAGGCGATGTTGAGCCTGATGTGCCCACACATCTGCACTCCATGTGATGGAATGACCCCGCTCAGCTCCTGCAGCTGCTTCTCGGTCTGGTAGACCAGGGACTCTGCCTGCGCAGCGGATAGGGCGGACCACCCGGGAAGAAGGGAGAGAGAAACGACCAACTCGAGCGAGGGAAGCCGTACCTCAGTATGTGCGACCACCCTCCGAAGTCGCAAAAGAGGAGGCTCGAGGGCGAGTACTCCAGATTTCGTAATAAAAGGGAGGGGGGTCTCATTTCGGGGGGGGTCTCTTCCAGGCTATCTTGGAGGGCCTGGGGGGTCAGGGGACGATGTTTTAAAGGGTTCTCCCACGGGGGAGGTCTGAAATGGCTTGTCTTGGAGGGTCCAGACCCCCTCCCTTTTATTACGAAATCTGGAGTACCGATCGGAGACCCGTGTTCGATAGTCGAGGGACCCCATTCGAGGCTTGTCGACGATCGAGAAGCTCGAGGATGGAAGATCGCAGCCTCGAGGGTCGAGGTTCAGGGATCGAGAACATCGAGATTCGAGGATAGAGGATCGAGGATCGCGGTTCGACGATCGACTGTCCAGAATCGAGGGCCCAAAATCGAGGGTGAAGATGAGGGCTCGAGATCGAGTGAACAGGTGCTCTAGGTGCCCTGAGGCTGCCACTGGGCCTCCGGGAGGGGGGGCGTTCCTGTCGACACGGCTGGGGCTCTCCCAGAGATCTTGATCGCATCGCATCCCGGGGGATTCCTCCCTCCCTCCGCCCTCCTCCCTCCTCCTC